GACGCGGTCAGCACACACGCGCAAGGGCTGGTGGGGCGCCTCTCTTCCCAGCTGCCTGTTAACTGACATGCTGCTAGCTTGCAGTGGCCGTGGTGGGAGTGTTTATGCAGAACCCCTCCCCGGAGCCAGGTAGTAAACACTTGGAGCTGACCCTGGAGGCCCAGAGGGGGTTTGCGCATCGGCTCTCTCAGACACGGCCAGTCTGGGGAGGCCGCATAATCAAGACGAAGGTGCACAGGTTAGGAAATACCAGACGCGGTCAGCACACACGCGCAAGGGCTGGTGGGGCGCCTCTCTTCCCAGCTGCCTGTTAACTGACATGCTGCTAGCTTGCAGTGGCCGTGGTGGGAGTGTTTATGCAGAACCCCTCCCCGGAGCCAGGTAGTAAACACTTGGAGCTGACCCTGGAGGCCCAGAGGGGGTTTGCGCATCGGCTCTCTCAGACACGGCCAGTCTGGGGAGGCCGCATAATCAAGACGAAGGTGCACAGGTTAGGAAATACCAGAAATCGGGGTCATATGTCCACGGAGCTCAGGCCTCACGGTCTCTCCACCAGACCACGTGATGTCACGCATGTTTGTTGCCCCTAGTTCCATACTAAGAGGCCGTGAGCGTGCGTCGGGCTTCTGTACCTATGAGTGGTGGTGTGTGTGTGTTCCTCGCCTTGGTATCAGGTACCCACGGGCGTGGGCATGGGTGGGGCAGCTGGCCCCAGGTCAGGCCCCCTCCCCTGAGCTCTGCTCCCCACAGGACCTCCAGGGCCTGGAGATCCAGCCAGAAAACCTAGAGCAGCCGTTCCTGAGTGTGTTCAAGAAGGGGCGGCGGAGGGTGCCCGTGAGGGATCTGGGCAAGGTTGTGTACTACGCCAAGGTCCAGCTACGATTCCAACACAGCCAGGTGGGGCCAGGCCGGGCCGAGTGGGGGGTGCTCGGGTACCAGCCTGGGGCCTGTCTCCCAGCCCCTCAGACCAGCAGCCCTGCTCTCCCCTAGGACATCAGCGACTGCTATCTGGAGCTATTCCCCTCCTACCTCTACTTCCAGGCCCATGGTTCCAAAGGACTCACCTTCCAGGTGAGGGGAAATAGGCAAAGGGGGGAGGCCAGCGGTAGAGGGAGAGAGCAGCCTCTTGGGAGGTGGGTATCCATGTCCACTAGGGGTCCCCGAGCCCTCCCGTCCCTCCATGTGCTCTGGCAGGGGCTGTTACCGCTGATGGAACTGAGCGTCTGCCCGCTTGAGGGGTCCAGAGAGCACGCCTTCCAGATCACAGGTGTGTGGGGGGCATGAGTGGACCTGGCCCCCAGGAGGGGCCTCTAGCTGGGGCTGCTCAGTGATCTTGAGCTCTGGCTGAGCTTCCGAACCTGGAGGGACCCCGAGCCCACGGGGGGATCCTGGCTTTTCCTCCAGTGGGCACATAAGCGTTTGCCAAGCTGGGGTGCAGGACAGTGGGCAGGGGACCTCCAGAGCCTGTTGGAGGCCAGTGGTCCGGGATGGTGCCACAGGCTTCTCCTGTCCCAGGCCCTGTGGTGCCCAGGGAACCCTTGGATCAGGCCTTTCCTATGGGCTGCTGGCCCAGCCCACGCCCCACCTCTACCCCCAGGCCCGCTGCCTGCTCCTCTTCATGTGCTGTGCCCCAGCCAGGCTGAGCTGGGTCACTGGCTGTACCACCTGGAAAAGCAGATAGCCCTCGTGCAAGGGCCACAGCTCTGCCACTCAGCACCCCTGCAGGTCAGTGCTGGGGACCCCCAGGCCGCTTTCCTCTCCCCTCTGTGCCCATGCCCTCTGCTGCCCCTGACCCCCCTTCACCAGGGCCCCCCCGAGGATGAGCTGCCCTGGACTCTGCAGCGCAGGCTGATCCGGCTCCGGGCAGCATCTGGACATCGAACGGTGGGCAGTGCCGTCTGCGCCTCGAGGGTCAAGCTGCAGCATCTGCCTTCACAGGTATGTGGTGGGGGGCGGTGCTCAGGGGTGGGAGGAGGTGGGGGCCGAGGGGTGAGAGGAGATGGAGGGGTGAGGAGATGGGAGTGGGGTGAGATCATAGGGACACAGGGCTGAGGACATGGAGGCACAGGGTGGGTGAGAAGAGATGGGGGAGGGTGCACAGATGGGGAGGGGTGAGGAGAGAGGGTGGGGGGAGGAGATGAGGGAGGGGTTCAGGAGGCAAGTGGGGCCAGGGCCTCGCACATACAGGTCCTGCCCCCACTCCTCCCTCTGACCTCCTCACAGGAGCAATGGGACCGGCTCCTGGTTCTGTACCCGACATCCCTGGCTATCTTCTCCGAAGAAGCAGATGGGCTTTGCTTTAAGGTGGGTCCCTCCCGAATGAGGACGCGCCCCGGGAGACACCCTGTGTGTGGGGGTGGGAGAGGGCAGCAGCTCAGGAGGAACCTGTATTTCGGGGCCTGTTGGGACAGAGTGTGCTGGCCCCACCCACTCGGCCTGCTGCCCTGGTCAGTCTGGTCTCAGCGGTGGTGTGGCCAAGGAGGCGTCCCTGCCCGAGCACCCCTTATCACCCTGGAATGTTGGCCACCAGCAGCAGGACCATCGCCTGGGGCCGGTGCATGAGGCAGAACCACTCCAGGGAGACACTCTTGTGCCAGGCCCCAGTATGCCTGAGGGGGCCTATACCTCTGAGTGGCCACTTTCCTAGGGTCTGGGGGCACGTGTGTGCATGCGTGTATAGGACGGTGCTCTGGGGCTGGGGTGCGTCTGTTGTGTGCACCACAGTTAGCTTCCGCTCTGGGGGTGATCATGGCCCTCAGTCACTGAGGAAAATGCAGGGGTCTTCCCCATGATCCCCCCCAACCTACCCCCAGTCTTAGTAGGTGACCCAGGGAACCAGTCCCCAGAGGCATCTGTCTGTGCCTGCCACTGGCCAGTGAAGCCCCACCCAGAGTCCAGGGGCACAGAGATCCCTCACGCCAGTCAGGGAGTGCAGACCTCCCTCAGGGATGCGGCTCAGCCCTGTCCTGACCTCTGCCTAACCATCTGAGGGCCCAGGCCAGCTCTGCAGGGTGAGACAGAAGTATGGGCCCAGGCAGAGGCCCAGAGTTCACCCCCCAGGCTCCGGCCCCATCTTCCGTCACTGCCCCCCAGGGGGAGCTGCCCCTCAGTACCATCCACATCAACCTGGAGGAGAAGGAGAAGCGGATCCGTTCTTTCCTGATTGAAGGTGGGCAGAGGCCTGGCCCAGGAGGGAGGGCAGGAGCCTGCTGGGTGCCCCAGCTCCTCGCCGGGGCCTTGCAGGGGCCTGGCTCTCTGCTGGCCAGCACCCCTCACGGAGTCTGTGTGTCAGGCCCGCTCATCAACACCATTCGTGTGCTGTGTGCCAGCTATGAGGACTACAGCCACTGGCTGCTCTGTCTGCAGACCATCTCGCCCCGGGCTGGAGGCCCCCCGCCAGCTGGCCTCCCGGGGCTGTGGGGGTCCACACAGGTGAGGGGTCCACAGGAGGAGATGCTGCCCCCACGTCTCACGTTCTGGGCTGAAGCGTAGGTCTAGGGCGTGGGTGGTTAGGGAGAGGGGTCCTGTTCTCTGTCTCACCTCCTCACTCCCTGCCTCCTGCTGGCCAGGTCATGGGTGGCGGCCGAGGCTCCCTCTCCTCAGACGGACGAACCAGCTGGGACTCAGGGTGCCCTGCGCCCCCCTCCACCCACACCAGCCACTCTCTCCCTGAGTCGTCAGTGCCGTCCACCACAGGCTGCCCTGCCCAGCCTGTGCCTGTGAGTATCAGGAGGTGAGGAGGGATAAGCAGAAGACAAGCACAGGAGGCCGTGAGGACAGTTTGTGTGGGAGAACATGGGTCCCCATGGCACTCCACCCCAGGCAGGACCTGGAGGGAACTTTGTGCAGCCTCAGAGGACTGAGTGGGTGAGGGCCCTTGGGAACCTTCTGGAAGGTCTTTGGTCCCTGCAGGACCAGGCCGACCCTGGCCGCACCAGCACCCGCAGGCAGAGGGCCGAGCTGAGACGGAGCAGCAGTAGTCGGTCACCCAGGAGTGAGGCCCGGAGCAAGGAGCCCAGCCTGGCCACCTCGCTGTACTTGGACCTGACCAAGGTGGGCCCAGCACACTGACCCAGTTCTCCCTCCCACCCTCCACCTCCCTGGCCTCCATCTCTTAGGCCTAGATGGTCCTGGAGCCACCTAGAGGCCTTGCACAGAGAAGGGAGGGCTCAGGCCACCTCCAGCTCCAAGAAACCTGTATCTTCTTGCCTACAGCTGAGCAGGCAGAGCCTAGAGGACAACCCTGAGGCCCCAGACCACTCTCTGAAGACCGCACACTCCCCACTCTATGCCGATCCCTACACACCACCTGCTACCTCCTATCACAAGATCACAGATGTCCAGGGCCTGGATGAGGTCAGTTCCCTGTGGATGACAGAAAGGCTAGATGTATCCACAGCCTGAGGTCTGCTCAGGCCATGTTGAGTGGCCAAGGGGCCAAGGGGCTCAGAGGGCCGGGATCCCTCCACGGAGGTCCTGGTCCAGGGCCTCAGGTCCCCGCCCCTTCCCTGGCAGTTCCTCAGCGCAGCACAGAGTTCACTTGGACCTGAGTCCTCGAGCCCGTTCCCCTCGGTCCCTGTGTCTGTGCCTGTCTCGGGCCCCAGCTCTGGACTCTCCGGTCCCCACTTGCTCTCCAAGAAGGGAGCCCTGCAGCCCAGAGCCTCTCAGCGGCACCGAGGCTCCATCAAGGGCCAGGGGCCACTCCCTCCAGAGTCCCCTCAGCATGTGAGCAGCAGCACTCACCCCTGCCAGGTAGGGGGTCCTGTGGAGGGGTGGAAACAGTGTGGGGGTCTGGGGCCCTGGGGGAGCAGGAGAAATGGAAGCAGGAAGATAGGGCAAGCTGAGACCAAAGACAGGAAGCGGCAGGGGTAGGGGGTGGTGGCAGGAAGGGAAGCTACGCCACCTAACAGAAAAGGGAGGGCTCAGATCTGGCAGATGGGTGGGCTGCTCTCCAAGCCCCCTCCCCCAGGGCTCAGCTCTCAGACTTGTGGTTGTGATCCCCAGGTCTCCCCTGTGCAGGAAGTCTCGCCCGACCCCCTGCCACCTCCCTCAGGTGAGTGAGGGCCCTTGTCTCTCTCTGAGGGGAGCTCTGGGTGTGGCTTCCTAAAGGCACTGGCATCTCTGTCCTCCCCAGCAGGTGGTCGTCCCCCCAAGAGCTATGACAACATCCGGGACAACACTTCCTCTCCCTCCCACAAGCGGTGGCCCCGAGGAGGAGCTGAGGCTTGGGGGGGGCTCATCCAGTGGATCTGATGGCTTCTGGGTGGCTGGTTCTCAGGACCACCTGCCAGCATGGGCTCTGCCATGGGGACTACGGCACAGCCTGGGGCATTCTTTGTAGGGCCACAGGCTGACCGGCATCCGACCCCTGAACCCCACCCAGTGCTGAGTCCATGTCTGATCCCAGCAGGCTGAAGAGAGCTCCCAAACTTCCCTGGGCTCTGGAGGGGCCAGGAGGGGGGCCTCGTCCTGAAGACGGCCTGGCGACGTGGCTGGACCACAGATCAGAGCAGGCCTCGCAGGAGACCCAGCAGCAGCCCTTCCTCCAGGGAAGCAATGAGGAAGGCCACTGGGCGCAGGCTTTACCTGCCAGTGGGAGGAGCAGCAGGTGGGAAGGTCAGAGGGCTGAGAACGTCAGGTTAGTGAGGGTCAGCGCACGTGAGGTCAGAGGGCGTGACGGTAGGAGGTCAGCAAAGTCCGAGACACGACAAGTAGAGGTAGAGGGCGTTCTGGGCAAGTGTCAGTGGGCTGGGGCAGGTCAGGAGAAACTGACAAGAGACTAAATAAGAAAGAAAGAGAAGGTTTTATTTGTGCTGTGTGTCCATGCGTCTTCCGCTCAGCAGTCAGGAGTCCCCCATCCTGGGGACCCTGTGCACCCAGCCCTGTGGGCTCCACGGCTCTGCCACAACCAGCCTCCCACCCACCTTCCTGCCCCATCTCCGACGCCTCAAAGCCTTAGGACAATCCCAAATGTCTGATCCCTTTATCCGACGCCACCGTATTGTGCCTCTGCACTTCATCCAAGGTTCCCCAGAGGAGGGGCTCCAGCTTCTGCCCTACAGACCCCCACCCTGCAGGGGCTGCTGGAGCCACCGTCCGACCCGCCCCTGCAGGGACCTGCTCGCTGTCTTGGGCAGGAGCCAAGGCAGCCTGGGGCTTAGGGGTCACAGAGGCCTCAGAGGCTTTCCCTTCCTCACCCTACTTGTCAACAGGGCAGAGTGTCCCTGGGACACCCCCCTCCAACCCGAAGGTCATCTAGTCTCCTCACTCTTGCCCCTTCCCAGGTTTCCAGCTGGGGCTGCTGCTCCAACACCTTCAAGTTCCCAATGCCTTACCCTGCCTCTCCCTGCTGACTAGATAACCCAGTAAAATACAGGACACCCAGTTAAATTGGATTTCAGATAAACCACACATAACAGTGCAAAGCATCAAATACTGCGTGTCTGAAATTCAAGTTTCACTGGCACCCTATGTTTTTATGAGCTTATCTGGTCACCTTACTAACCAGCTCCTTGCTCAGCACCTACCCACCCAGCCTTCCGGAATCTCCCTCCTCCCAGGTGTGAAGCATTGACTTGGCCTTAGCCAGTGGTTAGAACTTGGGTGGAATCCAAGGGAGCAGGACCAAGAACACTGGCTCCTTCCTAGATGCCGTAGAACACAGGGTCAAAGGGCAAGACCTGAGGGCAGCACCTTGTCCTCAGTGCCCGTGGCCATTTCTCTGTCCTGTGTCTTCCTGGACCAAGCCTGGGTTCTAAGAGCTGGGGCTGCGGCTGCGGCGTCCCTTCCTCACCTGCCGGCGGAAGTAGTGGATGGCAGAGACGGTGCCGATGTTGGCCAGCAAGACTGTGAGGGAAACACAGAGCCTCCTAAGTGCTGGCTCCATTCCGGCCTGGTCACCACCTGCTACCCGCATGGCCTGGTCCTCAGAGGGCAAGAGGAGGCCAGCGGGGCGAGGGGTGGGTCAGCCGTGAGAGGAGCAAGGTCACGGGAGGAACCTAGGCTTCGCCACGCACCCCTCACCCCGCCGGCCCAGCAAGTGAGACCAGATGGCACTGGTCCTCCCGGGCACCAGCCCGCTCCTCCCCCAGGGCCCCCAAACCTGTTTTCCAGGCATCTGGGGTGTGCAGGTCTGATGTTCTCACAGCCCAGGTGGCAAAGGCCACAAACACGAGGCACATGTCATTCTGGCTGAGGGTCAAAGAGCTGAGAGGATCTCGGAGCCCCCCTAGGAGAGAGAAGCACGCTCTGTGTTCGGGCTGCCCCCTCAGACACCTCCGTCCCAAGACACAGAGCGGCATGTGGCATAGTTGAGTCAAGCTGGCCTGAGCGGGTTGCCTCTGGGGAGCCGCTTCCTGGTTTGTGACGTACCTTCCGAGGGGAGTGTGACATGAAGTCTACTGACAGCCTAACCCGGCGGCAAGGCCTGTGCCATCCCAGCATCCGCCGTGCTAGAGGCTGGGGGCAGGGCATTGCCGTCGTCGGGGCCCAGACACAGAGTGATGGTCCGTGCAGACACAGATCCCTGAGCAGCTGCCGTGTCTGGCCTAGTCTGCCCCACCCGGCCGACGTCCTGCGACGGCCAGGAGCTAGTCCGACCTTCCCAGATCATCCCCAAGCACCCCCTGCCGGCTCATGACTCGGGGTCCTAGCCTGCCCCTCCCCAGTGGCCCTCCTGGCTGGACTCCCTGGACAGTATGTCCCCAGGCCTGGACAGCCCATGGGGCCCACACGACACGCACCTGCTTGTCTGACGGCCAGACTGAGCTGCTCTGCTGTGGTTGGGCCGGGCTCTGGTGGGGTGCCAGGCCCCACGCCCCAGGGCGCCAAGCTGGGGGGCTCTGTGGCCTGCACCGGGAGCAGGGCGGCCAGCTCAGGCGTGCCTCCCGGGGAGTCCTCCCCAAGGAAGTGTTCGTAGGCCTCGGGGATGGAGATGGGCACAGGGTCTCCAGGTGGAGCGGCCCGTACAGCCTCAGCTCGTGGGGGCTGGGACACAGGGTGGCTCCCCCCATGCCCCGGCCTCTGGGCTCCGTGGTCCTGGAAGAAGAATTCACACACGTCTGGCCACCGTGCTTCACACAGGGCCTGGTCGGCTTCTGCCGCCTCCTCAGCACCTTCATCCTCCTCCTCGATAGTGTCACAGAAGAAGAATTCATAGGCCTCTGGGAGGGTCACTGCAAAGCTGCTCCCGGGCCTGGGCCCCACCGAAGCGGAGGGGGAAGGGGGAGGCAGGTGTTTGAGGATCCGAGGCTGCGGAGACCGGGGCCCAACTGCCATGGCGTCCCAGCCTCCAGTCCCCCCTCGGCCCCCCGTGGCTGTCCTGGGGGATGAGGGCCGGGCTGTGGCTGGCGACGGGGATCCTGAGGTCTCTCCTGAGCCTGGCCCCTCAGGGCTGGGCACAGCCATGGAAAAGCGCACTTTCTTCTTCCTGGGGGTTTGGACCCGGCCTGGTGGGGGCTCCCCTGAGTGATGTCCAGGGGCACCTGCTGAGGGCTCCTCTCTGGGCTTCTCCCGGTGTCCTCCTGGAGACCCAAGAGGGCTCAATTGCGGCGTGGCCACTAGGCCAATCTCCACCTTCACCACGTCAGGCCCGGCCCCGGAAGCGGGAACAGCTGCTGACACGCCCACGTCAGGCTGGGCCTTGGACACAAGGTGAGGCGGCGGAGCAGGTGTGGACGAATCCACCTCCTGCTTGACCACTGGGTCCAGCACAGGCAGGTCCATGTCCAGTCTAGACTTGGAGGCAAGTGTAGACAGAGGCATGTCAGGCTGAAGCTTGGAGGCAGGTGTAGACAGAGGCACATCTGACTCAGCCATTGAAATATCTGGACAAGCGGCCCGGGCAGGTGTGGACGTGGTGTGGAGCTCAGCTCCCGGGGCCATTCTCAGGAGGTCTGCACCTTGCACAGTCGCAGGGACAGGTGTCGGCAGATCCGGAGCTGCTCCTTGCCAGGTCACCTGTGCAAGGGTTCCTGCAGACTCCAGACCCCGTTCTCCCTGCCCAGTTCCTGCGGTCTGCTCCGCTGCCCCAGCCAGGAGACCCTGCCCCCCGGACACAGCCAGGCCAAGGCGCTCCTTGGGCCTGACCTCGGCAGGCAGCGGGGAACCCTGCTGGGGGGGAGCCGGGCCGGGGGTGCTCAGGCACCCGCCCCCCTCGGCCCCAGCGGCGCGCCTCTTCTTCCGGCTAGGGCCGCGTGCCGGGGCTCCGGGGCTGCCGGGGGGCCTCTGGGGAGCCGGGGTGCCGCCAGGAGGCTCAGAGTTCTGGGAAGGCTCACCGGGGGCACTAGGGGCAGGGCCCTGAGGGGCAGGCCCCTGCAGAAGCCTCTGCATCTCGCCTCGGGGAGACACCGGCCCTCGAACCGACAAGCTCTGGCCTTGGGGGGTGGCATCAGATCTGAGGGACAGCAGAGCTTCTGACCGTGCGGACGTGCTGGGCGTCTGCTGATTGGGCCCCGGGGCCAAGACAGGCTCATGCCAAGACCTGCTGACCGGCGGCCGGGGAGCTGCCTCGTCCTCCTCCTTGAAGCCGGGCCAGCCCCTCCCCCCAGAAGCCGGCCGCCCCTCGAGAAGGGGTGGAGGCCCCGGAGGGCTGCTGCCACTGCTGTCCCCTTGGTCAATGTCACTGGACAAGAGCTCATCCCCTGAGGCCAGGCCGGCCTGCAGGAGACCACACTCTTCCGTCGTGGCCGAAAACTCAGCCCAGTCCTGGTCACTCAGCTGGATGCTGTACTGGAAGTTTTCCATTTCAGGTCAGCAGAGGCGCCGGGTGGCAGAGCTGGAGGCCGGGCGGGGTCCTTGCGGGCCCAGGTCCCGGGCACCGGCCGCCGGACGCTCGCTGCGGCGCCCCCTGCCTCCTTGGCTCGGGGGCCAGCACCCCATCTGCTTCCTGAAAGAAAACCAAAGGAGAAGCCTGAGGGAGCTGAGCGGCTGTCAGAAACGGCCCCTTCTCCAAGTTAGAAAACCTGTAACTCCCACTCTCCCGATTTCCCAGCCAACCCAAATGATAACCTTGTGACGCGCCAGTGCTACGTTCCCAGAATCAAACACGACTCAGATTAGCCAAGTGCACTAATAGCATTCCTCACGTTTGAATTTTTGTCCCCAGAAGTGGCTTTCTTCACACCTGGGAGCGTTTTCTGCTCCACTGGGTCAGCTCTACCCTCTCCAGTCCCCCTCCAGACCTGCAGGTACCATGGCCGACTGTACACAGCAGAGCCCATCTCAAGGATCACTCACTGGGAGTCAGCTCACCTGGGCGAGGATCAGCCCGGGTCAGTCCCAGCACGCCTCGGTGGCAGCTGGCCATAGAGGAGGGGCCGCAGTGCCCAGCAGGTGACCAGCCTTTGGCAATGACCTTCCACCAGCCTTGGCTGGGACAGGCTTCTGGGCTTCCACTGAGATCATCAAGGTCACACTAGTGCTGGCTAGAGCCCACTCAGGGGTCATCAGGGAGTGCCTGGCTCTGCCCCCTGCCTAGGCAGGAGGTCACAGAACAGAAATGAGCTTCCTAACTCCCAGTGGACCACAAGGGCGGTCCTCCAGGTCTCTGCCCCTCACCCAGGCTTGCCCAGCTGGCAGAGCTCCCGCCTTCTGCCTCATCTCAGTGAACAGAGGTGACCCTAACTGCTTGAGAGCCCCCCTGTGTCTCAGCCTCCAGTGGGAAGTGCTCTTTGGCCATCGGTCCGCTTCACCACCCCCAGGGAGCCAGGAGGTCACTCTGGCCAGGCCAGTGCTGACAGGCAGTTGCCTTGCAGCCAGAGCACTGTGCCTTCCTGACCCCTGAAATCTGCCCTCCTCACTGGTCCTGGGGAAGTCCCTCTCTCTGACTTTAGGACTTCTTAGGGTGGGAATGAGGGACTAATAGTGTCATACCTGGGACCCCGTGGCCAGACTGGGCAGCGGAGCTGGGCGTCCGAGCTGCCTGTCCCAGAGCAGCATGGTGCTGGGCTCACCACGCGGGCCCCACCCCCACTGCCAAAAATACTCCATCCCTGTGGTCACATGTCTCCTGTCCGCTGTCAGGGTCCAGGACACAAATAGATGGCATTTGAGGAGCCTCCAGCTCTGTGAGGGACGCCTTCCTGGTAGGGTCAGACACTGGCCAGAGAATGCTGCCCGGCAAACAGTCCTGCACGGGCCTCCTTTGCCCAAGCTGAAGGCCACTCTGCACTTCATCTCTTGGCCCAGGATGACCTTTCCTCTTCAAGTGGCCCCGCCCGCTGTAAAATCTCAGGTCCTGTGCCAGCAGCTCCATCTCCCATCCCCCCACCAGCCGAGGCCCTTCTGGGCCTCAGGGCTTTGCCCTGTCACCTGTGTGGATTAGAGAGCGTTGCAGAGTGGTAAGTGGGGACTCAGCACTCCAGAATGTTCCTAGAGGTCCTGTGTTGGGGGGCTGCGGCTGACTGGGGGTGGAGTAGGGGAGCAAGGTCTGCACCTTTCTCCTCTGGCCTCAAGAGGCTCCCTGGCCCCTTCCCCCACAGCACTGCTGAGCCTGCCAGTGGGCTAAAGGGACAAGTGGGATCATTGAGGGCTCTTGGCGGCAGGAACCCCAAGGAGTACGGGCCTGGGGCCTCCACAGAGTGTTGGGAGGGTTCAGGGTGGAAGGTGGGTTACTCCCCCCAGCAACTCTCCTGACCTCAGCTGCTATAGATGGTCCCAAGAAGGAGGTGGAGTCTGACCCTCCAAGAAAGGGGGCCTGGAGCCCCCAGCCCCCAGCTGGGCCAGTCACCAAGAGTAGGCCGGCAGGCGTGACAGGGCCTCAGAGACGGGTCTCCAGAAGGACCCCTCCTGTTCCAGGCCCTCGTGAGCACTTTTCCTAAAACCTGTCCGTCCCGGGAGGGGGCATGAGGAGGACTCTTTTTTCACAGCTGAGCTTGGTGGGGCACAGAGAGGGTGAGTGACTTGCGCACAACCACACAGCTGGCAAGTGGCAGAGTTGGGTCCCAAAGCCGCTCCTCTTGGCCGTTCTCCAGGCCAACTGGCATCCCCATCCCCACGCATTCTCTGTGACACCCACACTTGTGGCGTCCAGGCGAGGGGACATGAAGAGGGGAGCCAGACAGTAAACATCTGAACAACTGGGTCAGTCCAATCGTTTCTGACCGTAACATCCAGCAAGGAGGAAGTACTGTGGGGAGAAGGGGCGCCCTGGAGGGGCTGGAGGCCCTCTGAGAAGAGGGCCTTGGACCAAACAGTCTTTGGGTGCCCCCGTGGGTGGGAGACAGCAAGGGCCGAGGCTGTGAGGGTGATGATGGAGGGAGCAGCTTCACCAGGGTGAGAGAGGCTGGGGTGCTCTGAGTCCTGGTAAACGGGTCCGCATGTCACACACACAGGAAGGGCCCCGACGGGGAGTGTGGCGTGTGGCGGCTGCAGACCGCCCCCGGAAAGGACCCGCCTGCTGGGGTCTGCCACCTGGTCGCCTTGCGCGAGCCGGCCTGGCCCGTAGTGAACTTACACAAGTGGAATTGCGTCCTAAGTTCCCTCCTATGTCTGTGGGAAAAGAAAGGCTTGTTTTCTTCTTATTTTGTTCTGTAAGTGTCCTGTACTCCCCACACCAAACGCTTCACTTCTGCATCTGTGACCCCAGCTGCGGGTCCCACGGTTTCGCTCGAGTCTGACACCATCTACCCGGAGACACAGGTGAGAGCTCAGCCGCACAGGGTGCCCATCACAAGCAGGTCCTGGGCTGCCCGAAACTCTGTCCAACTTGGCTACAAACCAGAGGTCTCGCGACCTCTCACCCTGGGATGCAACGAACTTCCTGGAGTGGCTCACAGAGGGCGGGGAAGCCCTTAGGTCTGCCAGTTTACCCCAAAAGGAGGTACAAAGGGTACAGATGAGCAGCTGGAGAGAGGAGAGGGAGAGGGAGAGGCGTGTGGGAAGGGCACAGAGCTTCCTTTTTTTTTTTTTTTAAAGATTTTATTGATTTATTTGACAGACAGAGATCAAAAGTAGGCAGGGAGGCAGGCAGAGAGAGAGAGGTAGAAGCAGGCTCCCGGCTGAGCAGGGAGCCTGATGCGGGGCTCGATCCCAGGACCCTGGGATCATGACCTGAGCTGAAGGCAGAGGCTTTAACCCACTGAGCCACCCAGGCGCCCTGGCACAGAGCTTCCTTACCCACCGTCCCTGCACCTCCACAGGGTCCCCAACCCAGAAGCGCTCCGAGCTAGCTGGGACTTCAGGGAGGCTCCCTCACCATGCAGGGGGGATCCTTACCTCCATTTCCACCTCTCCCCTGTCTGGAAGAGGGGGCTGGGGCTGAAAATTCCAAGCCTCTAATCATGGCTGGTCTTTCTGAGGACCATCCCCAGCCAAGAGCCTCCCAGAGTCACCTCATTAGAACAAAAGATGGAAATAGTACACTGTATGCCAATAAAGATAGATGATAGATGATAGATGACAGAAATGGTTTAAAAAACACCCACACAGGGCGCCTGGGTGGCTCAGTGGGTTAAGCCGCTGCCTTCGGCTCGGGTCATGATCTCGGGGTCCTGGGATCGAGTCCCGCGTCGGGCTCACTGCTCAGCGGGGAGCCTGCTTCTCTCTCTCTCTCTCTCTCTGCCTGCCTCTCTGTCTACTTGTGATCTCTCTCTGTCAAATAAATAAATAAAATCTTTAAAAAAAAAAAAAAACACCCACACAAAAGAGGGTCCAGGATTCTTATCACTTGGGAATTTCCAAGGATTTTAAGAGCTCTGCACCAGGAGTGGGGCGGAAACCATCCTCTCGCTGGCGGCCTCCTTTGAGCCTCAACGTGCGTTGGAGTCGGGCACCCGGGGGGCTGCACTGGTCAGCTTCCCGCCGAGTGGTCCCATGTGGGGATGTTCCCATCCCTGCATCATTTATCTGTGGGTGGAAATCTGGGTGGTTTCCACTTGGTAGCTATCACAAATACTGAGGCTGTGAACATTCCAGAACATTTCCTTTGGAAACCTTGTGTCCTTGGTTTCAGTGGGCGCGTTTGTCCAGCGGTCTTGCCGGCGGTCGCGCACTTGCTCAGACTGGTGGACACACTCAGGGGCCTGTGCGCTGCGCGTCCCCACCGGCGGTCAGTGTCACCTTGCCCTGGGGAGGCTGGGGGGCGGGTGCCACGCTACAGCTTTAATTCACGTTTCCTTTGGTGTTGGCCACGGTGTTTCCTTTCCTGTGAAGGTACGTGTCTTCCTGGTGCTTCGCCACTTTTATGCGTCTTTCCCTTATAGATTTATAGGATACATGCATTCTGGGTAAGGATTATTTACTGACGTCTGTGCGAGCAATATCTTCCCCCTCAGTTTGGTTGTCACTCTCTTCACAGTGTCTTTTGATAAACAGAAATTTTAAATTTTAATATAGTCCAGGTTATCAACAGCCGCCTTTCATTATCACCTTTTCTGTTCTTCGTTTTTTAAAGATTTATTTCAGGGCCACTGCATGGCTCAGTCATTAAGTGTCTGCCTTCAGCTCAGGTCATAATCCCAGGGTCCTGGGATCAAGCCCCGTGTAGGGATCCCTGCTCAGTGGGAACGCTGCTTCTCCCTCTCCCACTCCCCCTGCTTGTGTTCCCTCTCCCTGTCTCTCTCTGTCAAATAAATAAATGAAATCTTTGAAAAAAAAAAAAGAGTAAAAGGATTAACCCACTTTTTTTTTAAAGATTTTATTTATTTATTTGACAGACAGAGATCACAAGTAGGCAGAGAGGCAGGCAGAGAGAGAGGAAGGGAAGCAGGCTCCCTGCCAAGCAGAGAGCTCGATGAGGGGCTCGA